CCCCAGATCTGCATACCTCCCCGAGGAGCCTGTAACCATTCTGAGATTTGATAACGCGGTGTTGGTAAGTCTGCCAGTTTTCGCAAATAATTTCAGGGCTCTATCCTATCTATCTATAGTGAAACAGACTTTAGCAATTACTCTGAAACAATGGGCAACTAAATATTTTATTGATAAAGAGTGGACTTTCAACCAATTTTGCGTTAAGGTTGGGGGTAACTTTTTATAGTTTATTTCGATTGCACAGTGCCCCGGATTCCATGTGCAAGTCCGTTTAATTTGTTAGTATAAGGCATTTCGCAGATCTAGAAACCTCGTCCTTTTTGGGACAAGGGTTTAAAATTCCGAATGTTAATTTTCGTCTAGCGTTCTTTCCTATATTCTGATTTCGTTATGACAAACAATAATAATGAAATAGAAAGTATTCTATAACAGATATTAATAACAAATAGACAAAAACAATCAGAGTGAAAGCAAACAATCAATCGCCATCCTTTTGAATGACCATAACATTAATGATGTGTAGGAACTCGAATAACTGGGAATCATAGTCAACAGCTATGGTGGCACGTCAATGGATATCGACAGCAGAGTGAAAAAAGCAAAATAGTCTTTCGCGTTGCTTAATAAAGTCTGGAAAGCCAACATTGCAAGTGTCGAAACTAAAATCAAAATATTCAATGCCTGCTTAAAATCGACACAGTGGCGTAACTACATTTTTTAGGCCTGTAAGCAAATTCTAACTAAGGGGCCCCTACCAACATACTATGGGGCCCCTCTTTTTATACTCTTTACACGAAAAAATGTGAAAAGGGTATATAAGGTTTGTCAAGATTTTCGTAACGCATTAAAGAAAACGTCGGAAATACCATTAAGTATATATCAGTACAATATATATATATTTTTTCAGTTCAAACTACTCTCTCAGCTTTTGAACTCTTCGAATGAAACTTTACACACAGTTCACCATTGATTGACAGTGATATAAACTTAACAATCGGATATGAGGTTTCTCCGTTTTTAATAAAGGTATTCAAATGGAATTTGGTGTATACAGTACTGATATTTGCAAAAGACAACGTACAAAATTATTTTTAAATGGGTTTTAATCTAGATATAGCTCCCATATAAACTCTCGATTAAGACACATATTTTTCTTAGAAAAACTTTTTTATTTTATAAATAGGTTTAATATTTTATTTGAAGTACATACATATTATGTACTTTAAATTTAAAATTTACGTATCTTTTAAAAAATGCAATATGAAGTTATTCCAACAAAAACGTTTCGTCCCACTTTTGAGAATTTATTAAAAATAAATACAATGAATAGAAAAATTTATAGTGGGGCCCCCTAAATTCGGGGGCCCGAAAGCGTTGCTTCCAATTGCTTCCCTGTAGTTACGCCATGAATCGACATTATTATATGGGTGCGGAACATGGTCGCCAACGAGGGCGTCAGCTCAGAAGCTACAAACGTTTGTTAATAGAAGCTTGCGACGTATTTTGAACATATGGTAACCTACAAGTCTCCAACGAAAAGTTATTGCGGCGCGCCAAATAAAAGCGAATAGAGAAGAAAATTTAGAGAGGGAAAGAGGGTTAAAAGAGGATTAAGGTGACTGTAAATGTCAAATTGTTGTTTAAAAATCTCATTTAAGCTATGCTGATTACTTCTAATTTTAATTTGTTCAGTACTTACATCTTCCTGCTGATCCGTGGTTTCATCGACATCAATTAAATAAGATTGTTGGTATAAGATTGTTTCTATGAATAACCCGTACTTGGTCCGCTAGTCGCTGTTCCGATACATTATAGTCCGGATGGTGCCCAACGAATATTGTATATAGTGTAGTTCGATATGCTGTCATATCTCTTTCATTGTTTGTAGCTATATAATAGGCGCGTAATAAATCTTTATTTATAGTATTAGTCCATTTTCTGCGCTGTCGTGGTCTGCCAGCCACGGTGAGAGCTATATCGGAATATATATGCTGTTTACCAGACTGCAAAGGTGTTCTATTTCTGTTGTTCTGTGGCATACTTGTCGAACAGGACCCAGGTACCAAATCCTGCACGCGAGAGTTATGCGATCCCGACGCGGTGGGGTTATCCGATCTCCCTAGATTTACATTATTTTGTTGCTGCATTGTGTATTATTTGTTCACACCTCGTAGTACACGAGGTGGTATTTTATGCCTACTACCAGGTATATCGTCCAGCCGCTCCTAACATGGCGTAAGACACTGACCTAAGAGCCGCCCATTCTGAGTCAGTCGCTATTATGACATGTTCTTCATTTATAAAAACTAGATTTAAAAGCTAGTCTATTCACAGATAGTTATTAGAAAATTTTTCAATTCATCTCTGTTTCTTTCAGTAAAACGTAGCTGGTTGACGTATTTGTTCATTTCGGTTGTCACTGTTCTGGGACGGTCTCGTCTCCTACTCCTTGCGGGTTCCATTCCATAACTGCGTGGGCAATTGCGTCTGTCAGTTTTTTCAATGTGTAGCCAAGCCAATTTGACATTTACAGTAACCTTAACCCTCTTTTAAGGCCACGCATTCCGAAAATTAATACTAGTAAGAAGCTAAGTTTTCTTATTGAAACACTTAACAATGATGCGATCCTGACAAAATTGAACAATGTGAGCAATTTGCAAGAATTACATACTATTGTATATGTATCAGCTATAACAATTGCTACTACAATGGGATGCAAGATAGGACAACCCAGAGATGGACCACGAAGAGCTGCAATTTATGGAAATAAGAGTAATACGCTACGAAGAATACAAATTAAAATTGATCATTTAAGAGGAGACTTAGAAAGAATAAATAAGTACATTGAAGGTAATCCTACAAGAAGACTTAAAAACAGGATCAATAAGATATTAAAAACATACAATCTTCACACACGCTACGAAACAAATCACACGAATATTATTAACACAAGAGACACTATAAAACAGAAACTATGTGTACAAGTAGCGAGACAGCGTAAATACAAGTTGTCGAATCAAAGACGAGAAAACAATAGACTCTTTAACAACAACGAAAAGCAATTCTATAGAAAAATACGATCCAATGCCAATACGTCAGACGACGTATATCCAAGTAAGAATAGTGCAGAAAATTACTGGAGTTCACTGTGGTCCAATACACAAAAACATAATGAATCCGCTCTTTGGATTGAAAAAGAGAAAGAGAAATATCAAGAAAAAAAAATGTCAACTTGTCTAATTACATGTGATCAGGTCAAACGAATTATAGCAAAAACACACAACTGGAAATCTCCTGGACCAGATCACATACAAAACTTTTGGTTTAAAAGATTTACTGCAGTCCATCAAAAATTAACTGAACTTTTAAATGAATGTCTACAAAACCCCGCAACATTTCCAATCATTTTTACGAAAGGAAAAACATATCTAATGGCGAAGAATAATGGATTTAAAGGAAACCCAGCAAATGGCCGTCCAATTACTTGCCTCCCAACAATATATAAGATACTGACTGCTTGTATTGGCGATCTTATAAATACATACCTTACACAAAACGATATAATGTGCGTAGAACAGAAGGGATGCAAAAAACACGCAAAAGGATGTAAAGAACAACTAATAATTGACCAAATAATATTGGAACAAGCAGCTAAGAAAAATAGAAACCTGCACATGTGTTTTATTGATTACATGAAGGCTTTCGATAGTATCCCGCACAGTTGGCTGATTGAAGTCCTGAATATATACGGTATTCATTCAACTATTGTTAATTTTCTTGAACACAACATGACGAGATGGCGAACAAACATAGAAATGTTCACTCAAAATGGTGTCATACGAACAGATGAAATAAGTATTCGACAAGGAATTTTTCAGGGTGACTGCCTGTCAGCCTTGTGGTTTTGTATGGCGCTAAATCCGCTAAGTAATCTCTTAAGGAACGCAAAGTATGGCTTCAAAATTAAAGGCAATTCTCGAGAATGTAAAATAAATCATCTCATGTATATGGATGATTTAAAGATATATGCTTCGACGCGAGAAACCTTAGATAAGCTTATTAAAATAGTCGAGGACTTCAGTAATGACATTAGAATGAAGTTTGGCATTGAAAAATGCAGAAAAATCAGTATTGTTCGTGGAAAAATCGTTAAATTCGAAAATTTTGAGCAAAATGAATCGATTATTAAAGACATGGAAGAAGACGAACTGTACAAATATCTTGGTGTATCTCAAAGCAGAAGAATAGCACATAAAGCTGTAAAAGACAAAGTATATAGTGAATTTAAAGGACGTATTCATAAGATAGCCAAGACGAATTTGCAGGGTAAATCTTTAATAAAAGCCATCAATACTTTTGCTATTCCCATTCTGACTTATTGTTTCGGAATAATACAATGGACAACGACTGAGATACAAGCGATGCAGCGAAAAATACGAACTATGCTCACAGAATACAAATTCCACCATCCAAAGTCATGTTGTGAGCGAATGACTATGCCTAGAAAGGAAGGAGGTAGAGGCCTTATTGATCTACAAGAACTACACGACAATCAAATTATATCAATGAGAGAATATTTTTTAAAGAACGCAGAAAATGATATCTTGTTTAAAATTTTAACCGAAGCAGACAAGCATTACACACCATTAAATTTGGAAGGAACTTTTGAAAGAAAAGCACAAGATCGGCAGTGTAAAGAGCAAGCTTGGGCAATCAAACCGCTACATGGAAGATATTATAGATCCACTAACGCCGACAATGTCGATAAAATTATGTCGCACAAATGGCTTACATGTGGAACACTATTTGCTGAAACTGAGGCATTCATGATTGCAATACAGGACCAAGTAATTCCGACAAGAAATTACTGCAAATTTATAATGTCAGACCCTTCGCTAATTAGTGATAAATGTCGGCAATGTGGAGAACAAACGGAAACTGTAGATCACATACTGGCAGGATGTACATGCTTAGCACAAAGAGAATATACAAAGAGACACAATAACGTGGTTAATATTTTACATAAGCAAATATGCAATAAATATAGACTTATTGATAGAGAAAATGTTCCATACTATAAGTATACACCACAAGCAGTATATGATAATCCAGACGTAAAAATTTATTACGATCGAACTATTTATTCCGATCACACGAGGTTGCACAATAGACCAGATATAACTATTGTTGATAAAAGACGTCGAGAAGGACTCTTCATTGATGTTGCAATACCAATGACCAAAAACATGGATCGTACTTATTTTGAGAAATGTAGTCGATACGCAGAATTAGCTGTGGAAACAAAACGTAATTGGAACCTTAACAAAATTGAAATTCTTCCAATTATAATTAGTGCTGAAGGTGTAACGCCAAAAAGTTTATTGTCGCATATTCGAAGACTTGAATTAAACCAGCGAATTATTGATGACATCCAGAAAAGTGTTATAATTGATTCCTGTCATATTACTCGCAAATTTTTAAATATTAATTAATTTAAAATACCAATCAAATACTAGTTAAAATAGTTTAAATAAATATATAGATATTGTGTTATATTTTGTACTGGCTTAGGCCACCAAAACTTACCAAAAAACCCATTAAGGAGAATTAAATAAAAATAATAATAATAATAA